AGATCTGCTACCTTTCTACGTATGTCAGTGAGAAGATTACTCAACAGAGGTCTATTGAGAAGATGTACAGGTTCCTCCACGGAAATACACATGGCTGAGATTCACAACTCGTCCTCACCTCCAAACAATTTTTAACTTGGAGTTCTCTTTTCATAGAAGACTTTACAGCAGGGGTGCCCATTAGGTAGATGGTGATCTACTAGTAGCTCTCAGAGCTGATGCTGGTAGATCACGAAGGGTGTGAATGGCGGCCCCTTTATTCCATTTTGGTATATTACCTATTAGCCTGAGTCTGCCGAGCCGAGCTCCCTGACACCTTTCTGGTGGATTCTGGTGGTTGAAGTGCTATGTATTACATCAAAGAATATTAGTTTACACAGCGCGTTGCACTACACTGTTTGCAAAATACAGCAAGGTGAGCGGGGAGAGAGAGAGCGCGGGGAGAGAGAGGAGAGAGAGCCAGGAGAGACAGCCAGGGGAGACAGCCAGGAGAGAGAGAGGAGAGACAGCCAGGAGAGAAAACGAGGAGAGACAGCCAGGGGAGAGAGCAAGGAGAGACAGCCAGGGGAGAGAGCAAGGAGAGACAGCCAGGGGAGAGAGCGAGGGGAGACAGCCAGGAGAGAAAGCGAGGAATGACAGCCAGGAGAGCGAGGAGAGACAGCCAGGAGAGAGAGTGAGGTAGTTTTGTTTTTTTTTGTTGGTAGATCTCATGTAGCTCGTCATTTGAAAATTAGATCTTAACACAAAAAATTATGGGCACCCCTTCTTTACATGATTACCTGACCATAGTGCATGAACACCAATAAACTGCATTAACGATATAAAGGTTTTATTTGGGGGGAAAGAACAACACCAGAAAACAGAAGCAACATCCCAAAAAAATTTTCAGGAGGCATTACACAGAACAATAAATTAAATCTTAATGTAGTAACAGAAACACGGGGATTTTAGGACTGTTCCTGGGGTGGTGGCACTTTGCGGAAATGGAAGCAACATCTGTATCGCGGTAAGATATAATCTGCAGTTTAGCCATAAATAAACTGAAAAGGTGTCTACATGTCAGGGGGCCACCTGTGAGTCCCTAGGGCATAATCGCAGTTCTTGGCACACCCAAATTCCAAGCCTTCGCACTCAATACCAACTTCCCATCTGAAAAGAATATACAGCTGAATTTAGTCATCAGATTAATCCCTTCAGACAGAGACAAGCAGCCTCCAGCTCAGCCATAAACCTTTGGGTCGATTCCACTCCCGATGAATAAGTTGCAGTGTGCATCACCAAAAAAAATCCCGTCAAGAGGGCCAGAGTAGAAGACTGCCAGTCCTTGATATGAACCTATCGAGTCTTCACACTACTCACGCTGGAAACTAGGCGAACTCGGAACAAAAAAAAATGTTTAATTGTTCCGTGAACTGGGTAACTGAGAACAGTTTTATTTGATTGTGTTGAGAATTCTCCCAGAGTTTAATGTCACTCAGGGAGCTAACAAATCCCATGTGTTTGAGCAATACCCCTCTACACCCCAGAAATGTCAGAAACAGATTCATATCAGACACCCGGGAGCAGTATGGGGAGGGGAGGAATCCTCACGCTACAAAAGTATGGAAAGTATATGAGATTGTTAACACAACTATCCACCCCTCCTCCCATGCCAAGGTCCTAGGTGTCATCCTTGACTCGGACCTCACCTTTCTTCCACACATCCAATCGCTATCCAAATCCTGCCGCCTTCACCTTCCTAACATCTCCAAAATACACCCCTTCCTCACCAATGAAACCGTTAAATTACTCATACACTCCCTTGTTATATCTCGTCTTCACTATTGCAACTCCCTCCTCTACACAGGCTCCCCCCTTATATCTCCAACCTAGTCTCAAAGTATCACCCTAACCGTCCCCTCCGCTCTTCCCAAGACCTCCTGATTTCCAGCTCCCTTGTCAACTCCTCACATGCGCGCCTCCAGGACTTCTCTAGAGTCTCTCCCATCCTCTGGAACTCTTTACCCCAACCTGTCCGTCTGTCGCCCACCTTGACTGCCTTTAGGCATTCCCCAAAGACTCATCTCTTCAGGGAAGCCGATCCCACCTGAACCTAACCACTCAACCATCACATTCTCAAATAATTCATCACCACACAGCTCCCTCCTCATGTATCACTTCCCCCTCCCTCTTAGATTGTAAACCCTCAGGGTCAGGGCCCTCCTTACCATCTTGTATTGAATTGTATTGTGATTGTAATGTCTTCCTTATATTGTAAAGCGCTGCGCAAACTGTTGGCGCAATATAAATCCTGTATAATAATAAAATGTAGACATGAAGCCCGTCTGATGTTGCATCTATTTTGGGGGCGATCTTAACACAATGACTATACGTGTGTTGGATCGGACTATCTGGAAAAGGTTTTAGGACAGTGTGTGCAGATGTCTATAGACAATGGCCTATTACATCGGAAAAGGCAAATGCATACAATACACACACAGTTACATATAGATATATAGACACATACATGGCAAGAGACATTTGCTCTAAAGACTATTAAGGAAAACTTAATATACCGATGTTATAGCAGCTCAGAAATAATATAAGCAAAACGTTACCACCAACATGAAATCAGTACAGTTATATTGGAATGGTTCAGGGAATACCAGCCAATACATAAAAACCAGAACACAGGGGCTTTATAAACTGCTGACATATTTAAGATATACAATAACCAGTACACGATATCCAATGAAACCCTCTGCCGGGAGAGAGTGCTGTTAGAATTGGCTTTGCGTACGAAAGCATAAATGGTGGGAGACAGCTGCAAGCGGCTTAGGGAGAGCTGAGGTATGAAACATTCACAGTCAGCCTTGCCTATAATGCATTTCAATAAGGGTCACCTAAAATATCATTCAATACCCAGATGTTCAGCACAGGGGAAAAAAATGGCTGCCTGCAGCGACCAGCTAAGCATTCTCTTCTTTAACCACCTCAAAATCGTCATATTGTAAAAAGAAACTGTGTAGAGATGGATGTGTGTGTCTGGAGTGCCGTTTATAAATGGTACTGTTTACTACCTGTGTGTATGTATGGGATTGGACAGCGAAGATCAATAACACAGAGCCAATCAAAGTGGCTCTGTGCCTTGTGATCGCTGTGATGACCAATTGTGGTGACTACAAATGTAAACACTGCAAGTGTTTACATTGGAGATCCCTTCCATTTCTCTTATAAAGGAGGAAGGAGGATTTTATCAATGAAAGAATTATGAGTGAAGCAGCAGATTCGATTAATTTCATTAAGGCATTGATATTCTGTACATGTACTCTCTGTATGTGACCTGTATTTGAACCTCTTCCCCTCCCTTATCCTGCACCTTAACCTCCTCTTCATCCTCCTACTGCAGGGATGCCAAACTGCGGCCCTCCGGCTGTGGTGGAACTACGAATCCCATGAGGCTTTGCAAGATTCTCAGACATGACTCCCGGAGAGAGATGCTTCATGGGATTTGTAGTTTCACCACAGCTGGAGGGCCGGAGTTTGGCCATCCCTGTCCTACCTGTACAACAACCCCTTCACCTTCTCCCTCTGTGTATGACCTGTACATTAATAAAGACCTGTATCTAGTGCACCGTTTAACAGGCTCCATGGTTTAACCACATCAATGGGAGCATGTTTGTTTATTACCAACAATATTATCACCTTGTGGTGTCTGCTTTCCAAAAAGATTTCATTTTTGGGGTGTTTTTTGTGTGTGTGGCTTTCTCAATATGTTTCCCAGCTGCTGTGGATTCTCTGTGACCTCTTGGCTTAATCTCTGCCGGCTGCACGGCTCAGAGGTCATCAGATTACCACACCTCCCTCATGACACTCCTACATTTGCACAAGGGGCAGAGCATGTGACCGCGAGGAATAGTGCGGCTCATCCGAGTTCCACCCCTGTGTTCACCGCTCTCATATGACTGACAGCTGTATTTAGTAAAACAAGCAACAAGTAGATGCTGAAAGAGCAGGAGAGAGGAAGGATGAGGTGGGTCTAGAACCACCCTATTACATGCCCCATTTCCTGCTGAAAAATACTAAAAGCAGTTCCTACAGAGAACTTCCTGTGGGGAAATGACATCACATTGCTTTGCCTCAGTCGGCAGCATCCTCTTCATCACCCCCCACTAATATGGACGGGAGATAATAGACTAGACCAAGGGGTAACCAAACTCCGGCCCTCCAGCTGTGGTGAAACTGCAAATCCCACGATGCATCTGTCTCCGGGAGTCGTGTCTGTGGCGGTGAACATCTTGCAATGCCTCATGGGATTTGTAGTTCCACCACAGCTGGAGGGCCGGAGTTTGGCTACCCCTGGAATAGACTGTGAAAGATGACATCTGGAGAACCTAAATTATGGATACAGCAAATGGTCACACCGGTTTGCAGGTACGCATGCCTGCAATATGTTTAACCTGCAATTTTAGGTTGTTTGCATTAAAAACAGAATTTGTTTTTTTTTTACTGTTTTACATATAAATTGTTATTTGCTGTCAATGGAGACAAGGAATAACTGCAGACGAGGAGGCAGTGTTATCAGAACTAGAACTGGTGATGGCACACGAGCTCAGCTCATATGAAACCTCAATGCCTCTTCTGACCAATAACAGAGTGAACGTATGACGTATTTCACCGTCTTATTTAAAAAGGGGGGGGGGGGGGGTTTTTTATGAGATTAACCCCCTCTGCCCCCCCACCCCGAAGACTGCGCTTGCTTACGCAACTCTCTTCCCAGTTAACGCAAGATTGTGAAATGCAGCCGTCACGGAAAGGATCGCCTTGTCATGTTAATTTACTCTCGGGATGAGGGATCATCTTAATCTGAGCGGCTCTGTTTGTCATACAAGGTATTTTTTGTTTGGTTTGTGGTTTGCCGAGTTTTGTGTGATGAGATCAGCCTGTCTACACGAGACCATATGGAAACAAACACAAAGGCATTTTCCAGCAAAGTGGAAGCTAACGATGGCAGAGGTTACCTGTCCGTCCTGACCCACGTGAACTTGATGAATCTGCAGATTGCCCTACAAAACAATGCAAAGAGAGAGAGCTGTTAATGAGGGAATTAGGAAGCGGCGCTGCGACATTTATTCACAAAGTTCTCTTGTCAGCTTACACCAGGAAGTCTATTAACTAGCGTGAGCTGCAGAATTCTTCACAAGTCTGCCATTCGCTGGCAATAAAAACAGCAACTCGTATACGCCTGTGTATAAGGCTCAACCGCAGCTGGTACTCGGTACTCACAAAGTTTGTAAAACCTCCATGTTGAAGTGCTCCGTTATTTTATTTTATTCCCCATCTGGGGAGAGGATTTCATTTAAACCAAAAGATGGAAAGCATTTTTAAGGTAATCTTCACCTAAAAGGGATATTAACGTTTGTGGGGTCACCAGCTTATAATAGCTCTAAAACTTTGGTATTGGGATTTCTCCCAGTAGTATGTGTCTCTGCCCCTCCCACAATGGTGAGATTTTCTCCAGTAGTTGGTGTCTCTGCCCCTCCCACAATGGTGAGATTTCCCCCCAGTAGTTTGTATCTCTGCCCCTCCCACAATGGTGAGATTTTCCCCCAGTAGTTTGTGTCTCTGCCCCTCTCACAATGGTGAGATATCCCCCAGTAGATTGTGTCTATGCCCCTCCCACAATGGTGAGATTTCCTACAGTAGTTTGTGTCTCTGCTCCTCCCACAATGGTGAGATTTCCCCCCAGTAGTTTGTATCTCTGCCCCTCCCACAATGGTGAGATTGCCCCCCAGTAGTTTGTATCTCTGCCCCTCCCACAATGGTGAGATTGCCCCCCAGTAGTTTGTATCTCTGCCCCTCCCACAATGGTGAGATTGCCCCCCAGTAGTTTGTATCTCTGCCCCTCCCACAATGGTGAGATTGCCCCCCAGTAGTTTGTATCTCTGCCCCTCCCACAATGGTGAGATTGCCCCCCAGTAGTTTGTATCTCTGCCCCTCCCACAATGGTGAGATTGCCCCCCAGTAGTTTGTATCTCTGCCCCTCCCACAATGGTGAGATTGCCCCCCAGTAGTTTGTATCTCTGCCCCTCCCACAATGGTGAGATTGCCCCCCAGTAGTTTGTATCTCTGCCCCTCCCACAATGGTGAGATTGCCCCCCAGTAGTTTGTATCTCTGCCCCTCCCACAATGGTGAGATTTCCTCCAGTAGAATTATTGCTCTCACTCCGGCATGCGCGGCGATACCCAACATGTGTAGCGCGTTCGTTGTTTTCATATGTAGACGCACCCGACGCGTGTTTACGCGGGGGACATTAATAATTTTTTTTTACATTATGTTTAGATTTATTTCATTTAATGTTAATTATAAAAACTGTTTTTTGTTTTACTTTACTTTAATTGCTATCACATAGGAGGGCTTACAAGCTCCCCATGTGATAGCAGATGGTGGTGACAGTAACTCTTTAAGGTGATGCTGGGGGTCCTTAAGACCCCCAGTGTCACCTTTACACTCCAAATAAGCTATTGAAGTGCAGATCGCACTTCAATAGCTTATAGCTGGGCTTTTGGAGCCGACCAATGACAGCTTTGGGACCGGAAGTGATGCAATCTACATCGCCCTGGTCCCATAGAACGGGGAGGGGATCGACGTTCCCAGCTCCCCGCCGACACCAAAGAAGCCGGTCCCAGGCCTGTAGGAGGGGCAACAGAGCACGGGAAGCACGGGGGGGTGGGCCTTTACGGGACTGTAGAAGCGATCTGGCGACAGCTGAGTCGCTAGAATCGCTTCTATTGTAAAGCCGACAATACAAGTTTAAGCAGAGTCTGTTTAAACAGCCCCGATGCTGGCGACGTGCACTGTACGTCGTCAGTCGTGAAGGGGTTAAAGAAAACGCTTGTCTGCGTCGCACCTTCAGCCCCCCGTTATCCTCGCGCTGCAATAACCCAATTGTAAAAATCCAAATTTGCTGAGGGAAAGATCGGGCAAACGCGAGTCCGCGGCTTTCCGGAAACTCATAACTGGCAAAACTTTGCAAACTGCAATCCCGGCTGAGATATGAAACAGGTCTTTAAAAACCACAACGGGGCTAAAATATTCAATTTTCCTGCAAAGTCATCAGTTTTCCACCCGTGTCAGAAACACAAATACGTTCGGATGGTTACGGCCGTGTTCTCGGTATGTGGCTGCGATCACAATGAGAGGCCAGAAGCCAACCGCATTGCCCATCAAAGC